CAATCAGTAAGCAAGACAGGACCCGTTCTTGTCACACTGCTAAAGAACACAGGGCAGTCAGGCAGGCTGCAGCCCACTCTTCGTGAGATGTTGCCAGGCATCAAATGGGGGTGGGGAATGAGAGAAGAGAGAATGTGCTGGGTAGGAGAGGAAGCTATGTGACTACCACACAACAACTCTTGCAAAGGGAGAGTAACAAATGACTTTGAGAAAGGAAGGGCAGCCCCAATCTTAAGTCCCCAGACACCTAAGTGGAACTGGGGATCAACAGGAGCCCCATTCTCCATCCTTTGGACTTCTTCATAAGGCTGTGGAGTAATGGGAGCTGCCTGGAAGTGGGAAGCAGCATGTCCCCAACTTTTCTTCCTGGATCTCTTTAAAGTATTTGTGGAGTACTTAACAGCACCGGATGCATGCATCCTACACTAGGCCCTTTCAGCTGGGACAGGAGGGGACAAGATGTACCCCTCCTATCACCTCCCCCTTGCAAGACTGTGGGCACCAGACAGCAGGCAAGAGAAAATACCTCTATAACCTCAAGCCACTCAGAAGGAGAGTAATAAAAAAATCAGTCTGGGAGGAGAAAGAGCTCTACAGCCATTCCATGGGACCAGGAGAGGCTGTGACAATACACCTCCCTATAAGAGGAAAGAGACAGCACCTATTCCCTCTGAAAAATTAGGAGGCGCCAACCAGACTGGAGCAGGGGAAGACAGAGTTGTCAGCAGCAGAATCAGACTGCAGAGTGGAAAGTGCCCCCTCCCCATCCCAGTCACTCCTTGAAATCAGACACAGGCGCCCCAACAACCTAGCCCCATAAGGTCGCCAGGTGTCTGGTTTTCGACCGGAACACCCGGTCGAAAAGGGACCCTGGCGGTTCCGGTCAGCATTGCTCAATGTGTTGTTAAGAGTCCAACTGGCGGCGCTGCACTACCCGGCTCTGCGCAGCTCCCAGGAAGTGGCCGACATATCCAGCTCCTAGGTGAAAGGGCAGCCAGAGGGGGTCTTTGCACTGCTCCTGCCTGCCTGGGAGCCGGATATGCCGGTCACTTCTTGGGAGTCACCTGAATCAGCACCACCTGGAGCCTGCACCCTCCCTTGCACTCCAAGCCCCTGCCCCAACCCTGAGCCTCCTTCCCCACACCCCAGCCCCAGCCCTGAATCCCCTGCTGAACCCCAAACCCCTCATCCCCAGTCCCACCCCAAAGCCCGCACCCCCAGCCAGAGCCCTCATCTCCTCCTGCACCCCAACCCTCTTCCCCAGCCTAGTGAAAGAGACAGAGTGAGGGGGGTGGAATGAGCGGGTGGGCATGGCCTCGGGGAAGGGGCGGGGTGAGGTATTCAGTTTTCTGAAATTTGAAAACTGGCAACCCTATCAAGCCCCTCTGTGCTCCAGGAAGAAGAGGAGAAACAGGTGTCCTGGCTGCATAGGGCCAAGAGAAGCAACATAGTAGGATCAGCAACTCACAATAAGAATAATACATGTATCTGGCAAAAGTGTTTTCCCCTGTTAAGTGTGGAGGGTCCCTCTGATAGCAACAAGGGAGAGAAATTGGGAAAATGTACTCAAAAACTGGAAGTTAAATTGATTTAGTAGCCCTTGCAGTGAAAGTAACTGGTTTCAAGTTGAAAGAAAAGAAGTACTAGTGGCACCTTAGAGACTAACCAATTTATTTGAGCATAAGCTTTCGTGAGCTACAGCTCACTTCATCGGATGCATTCAGTGGAAAATACAGTGAGGAGATTTATATACTCACAGAACATGAAAAATGGGTGTTATCATACACACTGTAAGGAGAGTGATCACTTAATTCCACTGAATGCATCCGATGAAGTGAGCTGAAAGCTTATGCTCAAATAAATTGGTTAGTCTCTAAGGTGCCACTAGTACTCCTTTTCTTTTTGTGAATACAGGCTAACACGGCTGCTACTCTGAAACCTGATTTCAAGTTGACAGTGTTCCTTATATGTATATAGCAAGCTAAACCTCAACATTAACAAAAAATTTATCAGGTTCCAGGGGAGGACGAAGATCCTGTTTAGACAATTAAGGATACAGAATATCTAGCAATACATGGGTGTTAAAAACATATAATTACATGGAATGTAATATAATTATAATGGAATGAAAAGGTCACTGTAGAGGCATTTAATGCTACAACTACTGTAGCTAAAAATTTAAATAATTGTATTTTGTTACTGAAAACAGACTTTTAAAGCAATTACTTCTCTAGTCTCAGGATAGTGTTAAGGTGACTCGCTACTTAACGAGATTTCAAAATAAACTTATAGATACTTATAGTTTAGAATCTCTCTGTCACTCACTCACTTACACACACACACACACGCAGTGGGACTGGTAGCAATGCCTATAAATTAAGGTTGCACAACACTTCCAATTAGAAGACCTGTTTTTCAATTGCTTTGAATTTCACCCAACTTCCATCATTTGGGCTGAAATTTTCTATGCTGGGTGTCTATGTCAAGCTGAAATTTTTTGGAATGTTTCAGCCAAAATTATTCAGCGGTTTCTGAGAACAAACGACAGGGAAGATATGTTATTGTGCCATGTTAAAACATTTAGGTGATGTTTTCTGTGAAAAGCTCTAGCAGTCCAATGTTTTGGGGCATGGGCTTTAAATTTGGCAGAGCGGTCATCCCCATGAAAATCCACCCAATGTGGTCAAGTTATAAGCCTTTGGGCAGTTGGGGGTGGGGACGGGGAAAAAGCACAGTTCACACATGCTCCATAGTGGCTTACTAGAACTTCACAGCTAAATTCCCAGAAGATTCCAGCCACACTGGGCATGCTGCAGCCTGGGGCTGAGCAGCATTTTTCCTGCAACTGCATGCTGCTGCAGAACATGCTGGAGGTGACCACCTGAACGGTGAGCAGGGAGCCTGTCTCAACTATGCTCTGAATGAGCCCCCAGCTATGCAGAGGGAACATGGAAGAGGAAGCTGCTTGGTTTGAATGAAGAGTGGACAAGAGCTGGACTTGCAGCAGGCTTAGGGGGAGTAGACAGGGGACATGGACCCTGTGGGGGTTGGGGGAGATTAGGACTGTAGTCTGAGAGGGGATGAGGAGATTGGGAATCTGTGTGGCAAGGAAAGGGAGATCTGACAGGCAACTGGAGGAGAACAAACTGGATGGGCAAAGAGACTGGGTAAAAGAGCCAGAGAAGGAGGGGATGCAGATATTGCATGTGGAGCATAAGAAGGGAGACTGGGAGCCAGCGGGTATGAGGAACATGAATGGAGTGTCTGGCAATAGGGAAAAGGAGAGAGATCAGGTGAGGAGCTGGGAAGAGAGGACTGGGAATGGCAACAAGACTGGGACAGGGAGTTTGAAGGGATGAAACTAGCACTTGCTGGGAAAGGAGACTGGGCCTACCTAGGTGAGAAGAATAGTGTTGGGACAAGAAGCCAGGGGAAGGAAAGAGACATGGACAGGCTGGAAGGGACAGGGCAGAAGTGATCCAAACAAAGCAGAAGTGATCCAGTAATATAAACTCCCCTCCAAAGGCTGGAAGGGAACTTCAAGATTCCCGAGTCTCAGCATGCCACTGCTATCAGCAAATATGAGAAATCCTCTGGTAAAGTGTCCCATCCCCCCTTAGTGATGGTCCACGTGGAAGATGACAACCTACTATTTCTACTATTTACTCCTTTACCGCAAGGGGTATAGGTCTTTGCTGTAGATCTAAAGGTTCAAACCTTGATCATGATCCATGTGGGCATCAACATGCACATTAATGATCTGGAAAAGGGAGTGAACAGTGAAGTGGCAAAGTTTGCAGATGACACAAAATTATTCAAGATATTAAAGTCTAAAGCAGACTGTGAGGAGTTTTTATGGGATCTCACAAAACTGGGTGAGACCAGGCAACAAAATGACAGATGAAATTCAACACTACTAAGTGCAAAGTAATGCGCACTGGAAAAAATAATATTAGCTATGCATATACAATGAGGGGTTCTAAATTAGCTGTTACCATACAAAGAAGATCTTGGAGTCACCATGGATAGATATATGAAAATGTCTCCTTAATGCACAACAGTGGTAAAAAAAAAAAAAAAAAAAGGTTAACAGAACGTTAGGAATTATTAGCAAATGGATAGAAAATAAGACACAAAACATCATAATGCCACTATATAAAAGTATGAATGGTGTGGAAAAAGTGACTAGAGAGTTGTTATCCACAATTGCCCACAATACAAAAAAAGGGGTCACCCAATGAAATTAATAGGCAGCAGTTTAATACAAACAAGAGAAAGTCCTTTTTCACACAAAGCACCTGTGGAACTCATTGACATGGGAAATTATAATGGCCAAAAGTATAAGCAGCCTCAAAAAAGAATTACATAAGTTCATGGAAGAAAGCATCTTGGCTAATAGCCTTTGATGGAGCTCAAGGATGCAATCCCATGCTCAGGGCAACCCTAAACCTCTGACTACAGAACCTGGGAATGGAAGACAGGAGTGGATCACTCTAGAATTGCCCTGTTCTCTACACTCCTCCCTGAAGCTCTGGTATGGGCCACTGTCAGAGACAGGATACTGGGCAACATGGGCCATACTGACACAGTATGGTAGCTCTTATGTTCTAATATGATGCCACATAATGCAATTCCCACTTTTTCAGTTTGCTTTTTTTAAAAACCTAGGAAATTACAGACACAAACCCCTATACCTCTGTTAAAAGAACACTCTTAAAAAGTCTAGACTCCAGATTAAAGACAAAAACTAAATTATACTCTGCATTAGAAAAAATTGAAAATAATATTCACACTTACAAAAATTATGGATACTTTAATAGCATGATATGCAACTAAAGTGCATTATGTGCATTTCAAAAAATATAAATCTCATCCTTTTCAAAGACTCAGATTTAAATTGTAACTTGCTCAGCATGGAACCTGCAACCATTTTTTTCTTGAAGTTACATCATATTTCTTAGTGATTTTATAAGGGAAGGAAAATGCGAAGGTAAACTTACTCGGAAATAATCACTGCATGCTGCAAGTACTGCCTTATGGGCATGGAATTTCTGCTCTTCTGCAATGAGGGTGATGTCACAGAGTACACCATCACTTCTTTGTTGGTTCAGGGCTGCCAAGACAGCATCATTATGTGAACTGGATTGGCAAAGCCTCTGACCTGTCAGCATTTCTTGAATACTGCAAATGAAGGAAACAAAGAGAGTCTATCAACAAACATAAGACCTAACTCTGAGGCTCAGTAGTTAATGCTGATCAACATTTCTGGTTTAAAAAAAATAAAGCAGCTTGTGCCCAAACAAAGAGACGCTTGTATGTGGTATGTTTAGCACAGGAAAAGTTTCACATAATTTAGTTTTATTTTGGATAGAAAATATGTTAGATTTACAACAACTCAAAGGCCCTGATTCTTTTCTCCTTTACTCCACTGTTGGGTTCAGTGTCCTGATTTATACAAGTGTTAAGTAAGAGGAGTACAAAGGTTTGGGGTTTTATCATCTTCTTACAGGGTAATAGAAAAACAACCAAAGTGGCCTAAATTAATATATTAGTAGAAAGGAATATTGAACATTCACGTAACCAACTCTACAAATTGTCTGGCTCACGTATTATCATCAAAAACAGTTTCTACTACTCGTACTTTGTAAAGAATTTTGCCAGCCAGAAGAGATTCCATCTAATTTTTCCTTAGCTATGTTGGTTCAGCTGAACTAATGGAGGTAAAAAGTAGTTCTGATTAGTTAAAATTGTCACTAAAAAAAGCAGATATGACTCTAAAGCCTCACAAGCAGCAGATCTGTGATACCAGAACGTTCATTTTTTTTTACTATTACTTTTCAGATAATACCTGCAATATAAGGTGTCAAAGCAACAGAACATACTATTCCATTATTCCTTGGTAATATTGTAAAAGTGGTTTCAACCAATAATTAGTCATTTAATATCAATATTTGCTACATTTTCACTTTAAAATATGAGCATATTTTAAAAATAAGAAGGGGCTAGATGGCTGAGGAATAAATAAGAGACTAGAGTCTTTCACTTTTAGGTTGCTTCTTTAAAACCAATTCAGAATAGCTGTAACTTAAAGTTGCCAGATGGCTACTTGGTGGTTTGTGTTAAGGGCTCAGGTGACTCTTACATGGTGCTAAGGACCAATACAGGTGCTTTTGCAAAAAGCATCTCCTCTAAATAACTCCCTGGTGTTTGGACAAAGCCATGGAGCTGACAGTCCCCGAGCTTCTGTGCTTCCCTGCCTAGATCTGCCTGATCCAAATCTCCTCCACTCTAGGAAACTGAAAGGACAACCTGATTATATGTATATAAAAAATAATAAATACATGGAATGGAGAAAGAAAAAAAATCCACATACAACTGGCCAGATCCTCTGCTGGGCTAAATCATGTGAATTGTATATGAATTTATACCAGCTGAGGGGCTAGTCCTTTATTTAGTTTCACACCAAAGAAATAAGTGCAAAATAATTTCTGGCTATTCTGCTTGTGGAATCCTATTTATATACAATAAAGTACAGTTGTCAGGAAAGACAATCCTGTAAAAGCAATTTCTTGCTGTTTTACATTTATTTCCTTTCTGTAACTTCCATAGGAAATTCACTAAGTCCAGTCAAGATTTATTATTTTAAGCAGTCAGTGCTGTAAGTTCAACCTGATAACTAAAAATAAAAAAAATCCAACTGTGTTTTTTCAGGTTCATTCTTCAGCACCAACAATAAGGAACCTGGAACCAAAGCAAAACCAGCAATTCTGTTCATGATGCTTGAGGAACAATAGAAGACAGTTCGGTCACGTGCATCCTCGTTTCCCATTTCTAACAGAAATAAAACACTGATTTTGTCCATAAACTCAGCAGAGTTGGAATCAGAGGGAGCAAATATTTGTAATGCACCAATCTCAACTTTTAGTAATTTTTCTGATTACAACCACATACTTACATACTTGTATGGTATGTACATCTGCATGTTCATTATGGACAGTTTCAACTGAAAGTTATAAACATGAGAGCATTGATTCACAGGCACACTGTGCCATTTTGTACCATTCTGCGAGTACAAAGTGGCCATAAAGCATAGTAGATCTAGGCAGTTCATTATCCCCCATGTCTGAGGGAATCTTCCAGTGTTGGGGTCAAACAATCGCCTGCCACCATTATGACTGCACCAGTGCAAAACTTCACTGACTCCAGCGTTTTTTTTGTCTACACTTTGGGCATTCACTGGCACCGAAAATGCCCCTGGGCAAATTCCTAACGTAGACAAGGACATAAAGAATGAGAAACAACAGGGAATTGGAGAGGATTGTGGGGTTCAAGTAAATTACTACTGTCTCATTCATGCTTCATGTTGTTCATGATAATGGCAACAGCAACTCTTAAAGCAATCTCTTCCAGGTTATAATTTGGAGATGCAGGTGTTAAATGAATGCTTTTGTTAATGCATCATATGATGACTAATGCTTCAGTAAACACCATGCTAAATGACAATGACATCCTGCACTGCTTTAAAGTACCATACCTGAGGCACCTCTCAGATGGCATCCTTCACGTTTGTTCTTCAGAATCTCAATACTTAAAATCTTGTGGAGGAAGAAGAAAACATTACAGCTAAAAAAGACAGACAGAGAAAAGGTATATTAAAATGTGAAGCAAAGGCAGCCTTATCCTTAAAGGTCAAAACTTTTAGGAGGCCAAACTCAAATTCAACATTTTTTGTCCATCCTTGTCACAAAACATTATTGGCTAGATTGACCCTGGCCTAGAGATAACTTCCTCCCCTCTTTTCTTCCCCAGCACTTTCCACATAAGCCCAAGTGACAACTGCAGTCACTGAAGTCACAGGCATGCTCCCTCCCTAACACTAGGGAGACATATTACCCAAACAAGGTGGGCCGGCAGTGCAGACCCTCAATACTAGCCTGCAGAGTGGGCTGGCAGGCAGGGCCACTTAGAATGGTTCAATGTGCATACTCTCCCTGCCCACCAGACAGCTATGGATGGATTACACATCCACAGACACAATCCATCCTAAAGGTCCTCCCAAGGTTAGTGGGGCTCTGCACTACCCCCTATTCAGAGCACTGTCTGTATTACTTTCCACCACCGCCCACCAGGTGTGTAATTGCAAATTAGTTATTTATGATTGTAAAAGCTCACTGACTAACTCGCTTTACCATAGCAAAACACTGAAGTATTGGCTGTTAAAGCAAAGAAAAACTTTTCACCAATATAAACCTGTACGGAAATAAACCAACCAAACATGATGAGATGAGAATGTTGTTGATCTATAGGCTACAACTAATCTTCATCCTGCTCTTCAATTTATATCCACAGAATCATAGACATATAGAGTTGGAATGAACAACAAGAGGCAGGATTGAGTCTACCTAGATCATCCTTGACAGGTGTTTTGTCTTACCTGTTCCTAAAACCCTCCAATGATAAAGATTCCATAACCTCCTAGATAACCAGTTCCAGTGCTTAACTAAATTTATAGCTGGAAAGCTTTTCTAATATCCAACCTAGATTTCCCTTGCTGTAAACTAAACTGCTTATTCTTGTCCTACCCTCAGAGAGAACAAAACTGATCACCATCCTCTTTATGACAACCTATTACATTAAAAAACACCTTGAGGATTAACTATAATAAACATAATTTATATGACAGCTTGAACTGAGGCATCTAAGTACATTAGAATAGATAGTGAACCACTTCCAAACTTTGGCAAACTATTACAGATAGCACATTATTCTCCTTCCAATAGCTACTCCTGAGGGAACTCTGCATCTCTGCGCATGTGCAGAATTCCCCCCCTCCCCTATTCTGCAGGAAAGTTGCTGCAGTTACACCTTTTGCCCACCAGAGGCCTCTGTGGTGCCAGAAAAGAACAGCCACTCCTGGGCCAGCCCCAGCTCTGGACAGGGAAAAAAGGAAGTTGCCTTCCTCACAGTGCTCTACTCATGAGACCAGGTCAGGAGGCATGGTATATGGGGGCGGGGGTCAGACAGCGTGGGGCACATGGGGCTGCTTGGGGAGTCACAGACTTGGGCAGGGGCTGAACTGGAGTGGGGGAACAGGGACATATGGGGATGTGGGAGGGACACATGGGGTGCCGGGCCACATGGGGACAGGGAGGAGGGGGTGCAGGGCCGCAAGGGGGGAGGGAGAAGCTGAATGGGGGTGCAGGACATATGGGGACAGGCAGAAGTGAATGAGAAAGGCTAGGGGTCAGCCAGGGTCTGCATGGTGGAGGATCCCTAACAATCCCTCCCTGCCCAAAAAAACCCATTCCATACTTCTCCCACCCTCATCCAACAACCCTCCAATTTCTCACCCAGGCTCCTTCCCACCAATTACTTCTCTCTCCTTCAGCTCCTCCATTATCTCTGAGTCCCCTCAGCCTTTGCACTGCTTCTGAATTCTGCACATGTGCAGTGGGAAAATACATTCCTATATTGTAGTTTAAAGGAATTATAACTCAGTTTTGTATTAATATGCCTAGTAGGGAATCTATTTGTCATAAAACATTCCTGAATCTTTTTTGTTGTCTGTATTGCTACATAGTTGTGATAGATATTTTGAAATAAATTACCAAAATAATTGAAACTGGCATGATTATATTGTGTTATTTTGACAAGATGTGCAGAATTTTAAAATATTAGGTGCAGAATTTCTTGGTGCAGAATTCTCCCAGAAGTAAATAGCTCATCGAGCCATAATATTCTTTTTCCTTTTCTATCATTGTTAATTACCCGGGCGTGTGTGTGTGTACACGTGCATGCGTAAAATCAGCTCTCTCTGATATTAGACCTTCCTCCTGCTGCCTGATTTAGTCACTGATGCCACAATCTGGTGCTTCTGTTATCACATGCTTCCACGGCAATAGATTTTGATACCACCAGCATCTATCTGTGACATTATCAAAGAAATTAAGCAAGAGAACACAGAAGAAAGTGGTTTGCTTATGTTCACTTTGGGCCTAATTCTTCCCCCTAACCATTGCTTGATTTGTGCCAAGGCTTGCCAGAGCTGAACTGCAGCACCTCCTGGTTTGCCAGTTCATAGCCCTGGTACCTGCATCACTTATGAAAGTAAAAAAAATGTCTGAGCCCTGGCACCTAATTTCTTGAGCCCCAGCAGCTCTTTCATTACAAATTAAGCACTGTCCCTAACTCACATTCAATATTATAGCTCCTGTTCACCTGGGTTATGATTTCTTCATGATACATTATTTAAGGGCCAGATTCTTCCTGGACCTTACGTATGCATGTAGTGGGGGCAGGGGAGACACAAGAAGTCTTCTCCCCTCTTCCTCCCACCTTGCATGTGCTGTCTAAAGACCAGACAGAATTGCTGTTCCTACCCCCTAGTGAGGCACAGTGGCAACAAGAGAGTAGGGATCTCTCTCTGCCTCCTCCCATACCTCCCCACTGCACTAGGCCTAGACTGGACTGGTGCAGCAAAGCAGAGTTTCCCCTGAGGCAATGCAGTGTCACATCATCCCTTAAGAAGAGCAGTGCCCTAAAGGCAACACTTTATTCCAAACTTCAGGTCATCCTGGAACGTTTTAAAACAAATGTAACCGAATTTAGCCCTAAGAGTGTAATGAACTGAACTGTATACTTGCATGTGAAATTAGTCTCACATTCAAGTATATTTATATTACATTTTAAAAAGCCCTACATTAAAAGAATGTTAAGTTCACCCAAATCAAATACTCCACAGTTAGGAAATGCCAGAAAAACCCTTTTGCTCATGTATGATGTGTGACAGGGTCAGGCCAGATGGCTACAGGAGAGTGATTTTTTTTTTAAACTGAGAGCCAGGGGAGAGTGCGAATGCAGTCCCTCACTACCACAAATTATGCAGTCAAGTTACCCACATTTGGGGAAATCGCAGGGGTCAGCACACCCACAGTGCAATGGATGAGCCTCACCCTGGGAAAACCACCTTCGTGATCATGGTATCTCCCCTGCCAGGTAAGTATTTTTTTTTGAAGCAGAAAAGAATTTTATTTGTGTAACACTTACAAAGAATCACCAAAGGGGATAAAGCAAAACTATGCAACAAAACAAAAGCAAACAGAAGGTATGACACAGCAGACTTCAGGAGGGAGAAGTGTTCAGGCTAGCCTGGGCCCAGAGCGGGGGGCTTCCTCGACAGCCAGGTAAGTATAAAAGGCAGATATATTAGCCCCAGGTTAAGCAGGTCCCTTTTCCCTGGGTAAGGTAACAGGGGTAGTTCCAGAACAATCAGGAACTTACTGGAACCAATTAAGGCAGACAGGCTAATTAGGACACCTGGAGCCAATTAAGCAGCTGCTAGAATCAATTAAGACAGGCAGGCTAATCAGGGCACCTGGTTTAAAAAGGACCTCACTTCAGTCAGTGGGGACTGCACAAGGAGCTGAGAGTGAGAGGGCATGTTACTGGAGGACTGAGGCGTACAAACACTATCTGACATGAGGAGGAAGGGCCTGTGGTGAGGATACAGAAGGTGTTGGGAAGAGGCCATGGGGAAGTAGCCCAGGGAGTTATAGCTATCACACAGGTGTTACATTAAACACTACACAGCTGTGATCCACAGGGCCCTGGGCTGGAACCCGGAGTAGAGGGTGGGCCTGGGTTCCCCCCGCCCATCTCCCCAACTCCCTATTGGATACAGGAAGAGTTGACCTGGACTGTGGGTCCCACCAGAGGAGAAGGTCTCTGGCCTGTTTGCTGACCCACTCGGTGGACCAGCAGAGACAGCGGGGATTGTTCTCCCTCTTTTTCCCCATGCTGGCCAGTGATGAGTTTAGCTGAGTGAATGGCAGGTTTGAGCCACTAGCAAAAGTGGCCAAACTGAGGGCTGCTGTGAATCTCTGAGGCGAGCAAATCTGCCAGTAGGTGCAGGACCCACCAAGGCAGAGGTGGAACTTTGTCACAGATGATACAGTCTTTAATTACATGAACACATACTGGGTTTTTCCCCCCACAGGACTCTTCCACACTGCCTGGCCACTAGCAGAGGGAGAATGGAGAATAAAAGGCAATTTCTTTAGTGTCACTTCTTGTACCTGGCCTCACAGAGACACCTAGAAGCCCACAAGAGCTATTGCAGGAAAAGACCTGCTCAACCCCGCAGCATTGCTGTGAAGAAGTTCAGTCGCTCCGTGGAGATGGCACACACACAGTCTACTTGTCACACAGGTGAATGCTCAGTACAGATGGACTCTTCGAACAATTTTTCTACCAACTCTATTGACCACTGGAACTGAGATTTGAAGAGGTTTATAGTTTGGTTGAGTTTGGGTGAATTTTCAGAAAAAGAGCAAAAAGCACATCCCTGTCACCAATGCAACCTCCCTGCTTCAGACCATAAGGTGTTAGAGCTACTCAACGCACACTTGTAACAAATTTCTATTATAAATAGGCAAAAAACATATTTTCCCTAACTCATTTTCTGAAATGGCTGAATCATTTTTGCTGAAATTCCCTTCCCCTGTCCCCCCAAAAAATTCAGCCTGAAGCAGACACCCTCACCAAAAATCTCAGCTTGAACAGTTTAAGTTTGGCAAAAGTTATAGGGAACTGAAAAAGAGTGGTATTTTGACCTGCATACAATT